AGTTTTTGCACGGTGATATATATGCGATTTTTGTAATAAAAATATGGTACAGGTGTTTTTGAAGAGATATATTATTTGTCATAGATTCCAATTTGGCGCGTGTACCTTGAGAGTTTTATGTCAAATTTCAAACTCTATGTTTATTTAATATTAATTTTGTATATCTATAGTTTATACATAGCCACCGAAGATTTAGCACATATATCAATTATAAACACGTTAATAGAATATCCAGATGTCTGATATTTTTATGGTTCTTTCTTGAAGAATAGTCATAATGCTTTAACCAAGAAAGAACATTAAGAATTAGTGCTTTTGTCAAGTATGATGTGGTGTTTCCGTACAATACTCCTCCCTGACAACACCGCTCCATTTATTTTGAAACTCCTGATTTTAACGCCTGGGTTAATCCCCTTTCATACATGTATAACACTATTACCCGTAATAAAGCGGACAGTTGCACACCGAACAATTCAACGCTTATTCGTGGCAGGGGAGTTGTCCGGAGTGTCAAAAAATGGAAGGGGAATTGTCCGGGATTCCTATGATTACCTTTTATCAAAGGGACTCCACAGAGGTATTTAGACATGACGGGACGAGTAATATTTTTCAAAATGTGTGTACCATTTGATGTAGGTCTTAACCAAAACGTATATGCAAATTTTCAGATCATTGCCACACACCGTTTTTTCCAGTATAATCATTTTTTGTGTGCAAAATGACCAGAAATGAAAACAGTTGCATCACTTTTCACAGAAATCGGGCTAAGAATCTCATAAAAAAATTCTTTTTAAATCTGAAAACATTTCTTTTTTATCCATTGTAAAATTTTCCATTTTAAGTTCTTCAGTTGATGAAAGTTAATGTACGAACTTTAAATTTTATGTTTTTAAAACTTTTTGACCTCAGTGGAGCATCTTTAATAAAATCAATATCTAGAAAATTATTTAAATATTATTATTTAATGAATTAATAAAATTTCTAGTTGTTTGAAAATATTGATTTTAGTATTTTTTTTTTCTCACAAAAATATAAGATATACATTGTACTTTTCAAAGTATACAGAAAAATATTAGTTTCCAAGCATTATATCATTGTATACAATGAAATGGGAGTGTTGCATTTTCTAAATTTTACCGTTATCATATCAAAACATGATCCCCTACTTACGCAGCATAACTGGGCATTTTTGCACAATTTGTTGTCACAGATTACACATAAAACTGTCCGTCTCTTAAGACATCTAAAAAAAAAAGAGTCATAAAAAATAGACTGAAAACAAACGATGTTTTATCTCACGCCGTGAACGTAATAAAAAAACTTTAACAAAATTATCGCGTACGATACTAAAACTCCGATTTGTTTATTTTGGAAAACATTTTTACCACTTCTGAAATTACTGATGGCACGCGCGTTTATTGTTTTAGATGAGAGACATTTTTCTGCAACATTAAGAACGTTTGTTATTTTAGTAAGAAGTGCAGCAGCCTTGGTGTTTTCTATGTATTAAGACCCATTTGTCTGTAAGAAGCAATCGTTTATTGATTCAGTAAAGTTTTACAACACTTCTGTGCTTTTCTTATGTTTTTCTTGTATTTTGGCCCATTTGTTTTGGGTAAATTAAGAACTTCCTCCTATATATGCCACACGGTAGTAAATCCGTGTGTTTCAAGTTTCTATTATTTATTTATGATTTGCCACATTCTTCCGTAAAAATATATCAACCTATCGTATTCAATAAATTTCAGATTAAGAAATACTTTAAAGATAATTTTAAAAATAAATATCAAAGTCAAAATAGTTTTAAGCAGAGAAAATAACTTGGAACTTAATGATCAAATGTGAACACTTAACCAGTGGGCAAATGATAATTATTTTACTCATTCGACCAGAGCCATACGACCATGGCTTGCACTACTCAGTTATATTTTTGAAATTTTCTTAAATGTTGCTTTTGTTCAGATTAGAAAGTGGATGAGTTCCTTTCACATATTTAGCATGGTCAGGGTTGAATTAAATAATCGCTCCAGTTTATATATAAAATAACCATAAAAAGATACGTAATACATTTTGTATTTGGAATCGTTTGTGTGTTTAATTTCATTTTCAATCCACATTTTTTTAGAAAGAGTTTAAAATGTATATGTTATTTTCCCTAAACTAAAGTGTTAAAATGATTTGTAAAGTCTAGTGCTAATGCATTTACAAAATCCGTGTAAAAAAGTTTCAAACAAGATACTTGTATACACATATATTTTTATAATTGAAGAAAAACGATATGCGAGCCTGAAGTCATTTCCTATCAATATATAATTTCCAGTACATTTTAAAATAAAGTATTCTTTGGCGTAAAAATAGTGTTAAAAATTCTTTTTCAACATTTAAAATGCAAATTTTATAAATCTATTCTTGTAAAGCCTATACCAAACTTTCGGAGCATAAAATCTACGAAACAAAGAAATCGCACTTTTTTTGTTAAAACGTATAGAAACCATATTACATCTTTCAACTCTGACACGGATTTAAATAGTAATTAAAGTAAATATATATATATATGTATATGCATTCATGTATTTTTGCCAAGTTTCATTTCACAGCAACATGGAAGCTTTCTTTAACGAGGAAGAATAAAAATGGCCCCACGGATTGCTTAAAAAATATCCGGGAACCGTAAAGTCATTATACATTCAACTGCACTTTTTAAAGACAAAATTTTAAACATTCAAAAACTAAACTTTTATAAAGATTTGATTATTTCATTTCCTTGACAGCATATTTTTAAACATAATGAAATTCTTGTTCGTTCATTTCATTAATTGATCAAACGGAGCCACGGAGCCGCTCATTTATTATTTCCTATCACGCTAGGTCAAATTGCAAAACCACAAAATTTAGTTTTGTCACAACACAAGTAATTATGACCTTAATTCAAAACAAAGATAAAACACACAATTTCTCTTAATTTCTAGTTAAGATAGGGATCCCAAACTAACACATGGTGGAGTTTAGCCGTTCACCTACTGACTTAAAGTAAGAGATTTGGTACAGTCCGTTCGAACTTTTAAGGGGTTTGAATATCAAAATACAAAAATTGAGCGGCCAACATTTTACAGCTGAACAGGCTTACCATACAGTGGTTCTATACAATGTAGTGGTGACACAGACCTATCACAGTCCGTTCTAGCAGGTTAAGTGTTTGTAAAGCGTAATACTTCGTGTCAGCATTTATTAACATTTTGTATAGTTTTAGAAGTATTCGATGCGGTTTTACTAGTAACCGTTACTATCCATTCAACATGTTATGGCACTTGCTTCATAGTACTCAAATTTGACCAAAAATTGTGTCCCTGGAAATTTCATTTTCAATTTGTTAATTTTACGTCATATAATAATAACTAATAAGGTATTTGTTAAAGCACAGAAAAAATACACATATTTTTTGATAATTAAAAAAACAAACGCACGAAGTAAAGCGATAAACATCTGAATTATTTGAAAGAAAATGGAAAACAAGATAAATATTCCTTTCCACATTTTTCTGTTCTCTTGTGTCCCTATATGATAATCTACAATTAAAATTATCAGTTCAAATTTTAAATTCTAATTTCAGGTTCGTAGTGGAATTATAAGAGCTTCATTGGTGAATAAAAGTTCGAAGAAAAAAATACCAATGTACTTTCGTGACATTGAAGTTAACGTTTACAAGGTTTTTAAGTTAGAACAGTATTAAAATGAAACAATACAATTTTGATATTATGAAATGAATAAAAAGATCAGCAAACCAATTAGATAATTTGTAAAAAAAAATCTATAAAAACCATTATTTGCCAAAAAAAGTTATAAAAAAGGCGGGTATAACACCAGTTTTCCTTATTTCTGTAAAGAATATTAGTACGTTTTCCTATCTAAGATACATGTTAACTGTGGGTTTAATTTATGGAATTGTAAAATTACGTGCAATATATTTTATTATATTTGTGATGCAAAGTTTACAGAATTTACCTCACATGTTCATGCGGCAACTCCATTGAGGATTAACCCTCTACATGTATATAGTGCTGTGTATTTTTAAATATTTTTGCTTTGATATTGCTATTTATTTTTTATGAAATGGGTATGCAAAGCATGCAAGTGTATTTGAAATATTAAATTAAGAAAAGTTTTGTCCGCACTTATTTGTACTGCAAACCATTCACAAATCAATCGATTACATTATTACATAAAGTAATCTGTTTTCAATTGTCATTATTTAGATATTTCTGTGCTAAAAGTGTGTGTTTTGTGGTTAATACAAACATAACTTGAGACAGCTGACATTACTGATTTATTTATAATTTTATCTATCATTTGTCGTTAATACCAATGTCATGTTCAACCTTGTCTGGTTTGATACCAACTGTCCCTATATTAATAAAATTATCCTCATGTAAATAAAAACTTACACTGTACCAAGAAGTTTTCATATAAGACAGATACATGTAAGAAATGTATGCATTGTTTTATTTGTTTTATTATGCGTTTTTAACGCCTATTTTATCACAGTTTTGGTCATATCTCGGTGGATGTCAGCCTAAAAATGCCCAATGATTTCTGAAAAATGGTGATACCAGTATTTTAATACAGGCCGGTTTTATATTACACCTATCTATGTTTATCTACAGTATTCGATTGGAAATTATTTTCAGTAACAGTGCTTTGGACACTGACTTTAAATTTAATCTGTCATCATTATTTAAGAGAAAGTACTAAAGAACGACAATTTTTATGTGTCTATACATAGGGTATATACAAGATTAACTCTGATGTAAACAGCGGGGTCTAATCCAAAGATTGCCACTTCTGGTTGGTGACAGAAATAAACTAGTTACATAACTGTTATAAAAATGCACCCAGAAGGACAGCTTTTCACTTTGAATAATAATTTCTGATGACAAAATTTAAAAAAAAAAAGCAAAAAAGAAGAAAATATATAAGCAAAACTAATTTGATAATATACTCACCAGGTTAAGCGGATGTATAGTACTTGGTTGATTACACTGTTCTTCTTCTTCGTTACCATCCAATATTTGTTTTAAATGTGCAATATAACTAGATGCAAGTCTTAAAGTATCTAATTTTGATAATTTCGTGTCTGACGGTACCCATGGTAACGTTGTCTTTAATTTTGAAAATGCTTTACTTAAAACTCTCATTCTGCTACGCTCCCTTTCATTTGCAGCGTGTCTTTGAATTGGATGATGTTGTTTTGATGACTTCCTTATTGAACAATCGTCATCGTCTTCACTTTCTTTGTGCTCTTTACGTCGTCTTGGCATTGTAAGCGTCTCTTTGGGTTATTTCCAGCAAAATTAGTTACACTTGCACGTGAATACTATTAGAACTTTCTGAGAATAATTTGTTTCAAAGATAAATTTTAATATTTTAACAGGTATATCCAAAATATATAACAGAGAGATGTAATGGGAAGTGTTTACACCACTTCTGATTGTCGGTAAAGTGTCATGCCGGTAATAGAAAATATTCCTTCTTCTCGAGCAATGATTGAAGTCTCGCATATGGTTATAAAATGGGTATGTTTTCCATCAAATTTTTGAAGTAATAACTCTTATGTTTATCTATATTATACAACCTCATCAACATACCCGTGTCACGTGTACACCTGTCCTTCTTTGCCCTTCCTGTTGGCTTATCAGTTTCGAAAGTGAAACTCAATAGCGAGGGCAAACGCTTTCTCGAAACCGTACAGAAACTGTATGGCGCAATAAATAAAAGTAGTTGAGCGCTAATTGTACCTAAATTGGTTTAAATCGCTAATAAATACATCAGCAATGATGTACGAGCTAAAATTATACTGAGATAAATGCTCCTACTCGAATTTTCGGCTTGATTGATGCATTATTTAGACTTTAATTGTTTTTCCACCGTTTTTATATATGATTACATATTTATTTTATGGTATATGGGTAAAAGTGGCGTCAAATTAGTTATACATATCACATCACAATAATTCCTGCTTAAATCTTTATTTTCGTTATATCCTAATATCACTTCACTTTTGATTAATTTATTGTTTAATATATTATAGATATTTAACTGATATTTTTATTATTCACATTCTTTCAAATTTAAAACTTTACAAACAAATGCAATCCAAAGTTATCTACTGCGGTTAAGATTTAAATTTCAAAAATCGTTACAAATCATTTCTATTTCTTGAAGTACCAAGCTGATTTTCGTCCGTCAATAAAAGAGGAACACCACAGGTGGCATATGTTTGTATAATGTTTATACTACATATTGTTTATATACACGCATTCTCATCAGTTGCGAACCGCAGGTAGGCGGGGCTTTGTTAAGCTAGGGCGGAGCTATGTAAATTGCAGCAGCATTTTTTGCACAGCATATGCATGTTCTAAATGAATTTAATCAATTTAAACGGGATTTTTGCAGACATTCTTTCTAATTAGAATGTATTAGAGTGTATTTTGCCTGGGTATGAATATAAGTTTAATAAATATAGTTTAATTTTATATCCTATAATTTGAAGTCGCACACATTATTCGAATATTCAGCATTTTAACCCACCTTCGAAACAACATAGAGTTATACTACATTAAATTAGTTGTTATGTCATGCGTAGACGGGTTTATTTAGTCTCACTTATCAAAATAACTGTCACACTAATTAAGTAAGCATGTACCAATTTGTGTCGAACATAGTGACATTTTCTTTTATTGTATAATACAAATATTATATTAAATATCAAATTATTCTATTTTATATGAAACGGTCTATTAAATTTTCAAAGATTCAGAACTGTTTACATTTTAAATGAACAAGACTTTCTTTTTATTACATTTTAGATGTAGTCTTGCCTGTAAATGTAAGCCACACGTTAGTATTGGCATCAAAACAGTAATGTAAAGTTTTTTTGTTTTTGTTTTCCTTTTTCTTTTTTTTATCTTTTTTTTTTGTAGGTAAGGATCGATGCATGGTAATTTGCATGAATAAGAAAATTAAACCTCCAATAGTCAGTGTTCCGCATACCACCTAGACATTAAGGAAATTCATAAATTATTTCTTTTGTGATTTAAAGAAGACCCATTAAGCCTAAATTGTTTTAATTACTATTTTTCAACAGATTTTCATTTTTGTAGTTACAAAAATGTACTCATTTACCACATAGCCGAGCCATTTTATGCTTCATTTAGGCAATTAGTGTTGAAATATTAAGTGTTAGTTTTTTTATAAAACCGCTTTGATTACAATTTGCTACCTTTTTTCACTTCAAACGCAAGATTATCCAAATGAATAACATGTAACATTCTCCGTTATTACGTTATAAAACATATTTTTTCCATTTCTTAAACAACAACACCACCACTGTGTGTAATTGATCAAGTAATTTATTCTCATTCGATCTCGAATAATTAGTGGCATGGCCGAGTGGTTAAAGCGTTGGACAAGTAATATATTGATATAGAGTGCGAGGGTTCAAACCCCTTCAGGGACAATCCGTTGTATCTTTACGCAAGAAACTTTAGACTCATTGTTTAGTACTGGTTGGTTCTAAGAACTGATTTGAAGCGTATAGCTTCATACACAATCGAACTAAAATATCTGTATAAACTAAAATAATTCCGACCTATAATAAGAGGTTATTCTTGAAGAACCCTAGAGCAATGGGCATGCTGTTTAAAATGTGACATTGAAGATATAGATGTTAACTCTTTGAACCTGGAACAGATGTATGTTTTATATGTGAGATCGTAGATACTATTGTATACTCACATAGTTTAAACAGAATGTACATTTCCTTTCACTCTGACATTTCTTGTATATTAATGTAATTTTATATATAAATAACTAACGTTTGATGGAGCTTACCAATCGGTGATTATTTATTGACGAGATATGTCTGACCGAAGACATAAATATAGCAGGAAACTAGACAAAAATGTAATAAAATAACAATTTAGTTGATTAATTACACACATATAACATGTTTGACCACACGTTTAGCTGTTGAGAACCGATTATAGGTTCGTGTTTTATGAGTGGTCACTTATCAACGACATGAACCTCTCAACTACGGATTAAAGAAATAATCTGCTTTTAGAACATAAAGTAAAAACATCAAAATTTCAAGCATCCGAATAAAACGGTAAAAGCGATAAAAGACAGGCGTAATACTAGTATATCATTTTAACACCACAATTCAAATGACTAATGCTCGTGACTATTTCTTTTGGAGGCAATTTAGTTATTTAGAAAGGATTCTTTTCCGTGTTAAAAAAGCAGACGAAGATGGTTGCAATGGGTAAATTTCCCGCATTTTTGTTAAACTTAAAATGCAGTGTTACAAACGAAGATAAATATTTCCTAATATTTCCATTACTTAGAAAAAAATAGATCTAGAACAAGAAAAAAAATCGCGTAATTGCTAAGGAAACAATAAAACACTGAAAATCCAACAACAACAAAAAAGAAATTTATAAAGAGCTGTTACGACAATGAAAAAAAAGCAGGAACAAATGTAACGATATCGTATTCTCGGCGTCAGTGGGAACATTAAATCTTTTACTCTGGCGTTTTATATCTTTATTGAGAATTATGCATATCTAATTGCGTGTTCGTTTTCACCGTTTAAATAATCAATTAATTAGACATAACGATGTTAGGGGTCACTTGGGGCTACTTATTATCTTACAATGACCTTTGGGATATCATAGGATAGTTCTTATCACAAAATCGTAAATGATAACAAGAATTAATTGGAACTTCTCGGAATTTATCGTGTTAACATGACAGGTACAATAATAAACATCCGCTACCAATAATGCACCGCGCGGCAAATATTCGAAATACACAATAAAAATTGATATGAACCATTGTAAATGATATCTTTGATTCAAAGGAATTCTTTAAAAGCATACCAAAGAATTGTGTGATTAGATCCTAGCTTCTTATTTACATGAAAAATGGGAACACGTGATCACTTGGGAAGGATAAGTGATCTTTGTCGATATCATATCTAAATTCGAATAAACAAAAATACTTTACATTCTGTTTATTGTAAGATAATATACGTTAATAGCACTTCAAAGACTGCATTATCTTTCAACTAGGAAGAATATACAAACGAACACAGAAAACTCGTATATGTTTTTTTCCTGAATGACAACAAAACATTACACTTTTATCTTGTAGTGTTCGTTAATCCAATTCATTCTTGGAATTCTTTGTGATTCATTTGACAAAAAAAGGAAACAGGTAACATGGAATATTTTTATTGAAGGATTAAAGAAAATAAATATAAGTAAATATATTTCGTATAAAGATCTTGAAGTACCATTTTGTGGAATATTTAAAATACCACGAGAGAAAATGTCTACACCAAAGTCACTGTAGGTTTGAGAATAGGTCTTGTTATCAGCGTTTTGAACGACAATTCCGTTGATCAAAGACCATTATGATAAAATAGATCCAACACCAGCATTTATTTTAATATCTTCATTACATATCAGGAACAGGCTTGTAAAAGAAAGAATGAATTATTAATTTCATGTTGTTTTTCCTATTTAAGGTTCAAAAAACTATTTAGAAAAATTTAAGATCTTGAATTTCAACGCCAATTTGCCACATTATTTAAATAATTGTTATAACTGGCTTTGCTTTATGCTGCACGTCGGTAAGGCTGAGCTTGCCTGTGTTATCAATAATAGTTACATCAAATTTTTAGCTTCATTACTAGAGAAAGTGCAGAATAGTATGATTTTGACAGGTTATATGGCGATATAGAAGGATGTCTCCCAGGGCATATAACTTATAAAAATCTGTATAAAGCTGCATATAGACCAAAAACCTCAACATACGTGTGCTTATACTTGGCGAGTCTTGAGAATAGCTGAATTATAAATTATATTTACACAGACGACATACTTATGTCCGGTTCTACAAAAAGGAAAACATACCCGCTGCTGAACTAGACGCAATGTATGAAGTCTACAACAGCAAAACGTCTATTTTCAAAGCATCTTGATTATGAAAGAGATTTCTAAGGATATCTACACAAACAGAAAACAAATACGGAAGAAAAAAAAGAAACATAATATTTAAATGGAAAAATATAGAGCATGTGTTTGGGGAACAATATAAATGGAATGTTGAAAAAAAAAAGAAAAAAATGTTACGCTATAGTGCAGATGAATATCAGTAGTAAAAAATGTGGCATAAGATATTATTTAATCTGCATTTGGTCTTCAAAGAAATCTATTTTCAGACTTACTCAATTTTATTCTTTGATTTGAAATCGCAGCCGTGGACTTGTCCTAAATAAAGGTCATGCATTTTCAAAGATTGACAGATACGATAGGTGGTCTTTCAACATGGAATAGACCTGCCGTATCTTCAACCGATCTCTGACTTTCGTACAAATTGTTTACAGTATAATATCACATTAATATTCACATTGCAAGAAAATCGCCATTTATCATCTTTATCCGTCATGATCAGATAAACGTTTGGTATCAGAGTAGTTAGACGCTTGGTATCAGTGTTGTTAGACGCTAATTGAAGATAGTGAGATGCCGGGATATGACACCAGATACAATCATTATGCCTGGAGTGCTTGTCGGATTTTTTTTTCCATTTAACACCTGAAAAATTTGCGACGCTCAGTAAAAAATAAACAATAAATGAAATTAACATATTTGAAATACATGTATACATGTATATGTATACAGTATATATATATATATATGGACGTTCAAAGAAGAAAAAATAAAACATTTGTATACATTGTATTTATAGATAAAGACAGCTATGTTACTTGCAATATAAAGAAATAGATGCAGCAACAACTTTGAAATTATTTTCTTCATTTAAACTTTGCTGCATGTGTTCTAGGCTATATACATGTATCTGCTGCTTGTATTATACAACGACAAGGAATCCGAATATAATTTATTTCAAAGTTATAATAAAATGATTAAAAAAAAATCATACACTAAGCAAGACTCTTTATATCAACAAACAAAAGCTATACACATAGAAAAGTGATTTAATATAATAACATAAAACGTTTTTCTTTCTTCAAAATATATGTAAGAACTATTCAACGGTCATAGTTAAATTCATTTTATCTATGATTTAGAAATCTTCAGAAAAAAAATCCTAAAATTTTCAAATATTTTCATCAGTCGCTACACAATCAAAGTTCTTGCATTCACAAAAAACAACGTCTGCTACAGATTTTATCTTGCTTGCCTGAAGTAACCCGAAAGTGCTTTGGCCGATCTAATAAACATATAAACTTTCTTTGATAAGAATCTTCTGTACACGATAGTTTTATGTAAACTAATATCATAGAGAAAATTAATGAAGAGGGTTAGTTTACCAGTGTTTTCAACACCAGGTACATATAAAACAACTGTTGGGGATGTTGGCACTAGTTAGATAGGCTGTGAATTATGTCCCAATAACATATATATCCGGTACAAGCTTTTATCTTCGTTGCTACAACAACGTTAATGTATGTAATACAGAGTCAAATGCCATGAAAATATCCGTAAGTTCTTAAACCATAGCTTTCGATGAAGCAGTGGGTCCATCGCAGCGGCGGTAGAGTATGCGTCACAGAAGCGGTATATAATATATGGCCGTTTGCTGTTGTCGGTAAGTATATGACTGAATTTTGTTTTATGTTTTAATGTTTTACTGAGACTGGAGCCCACATATGTACTCTTTCAACTTATTACAAGCACACGGTGCAATTCATGGCCGTTTATGCAAACACTTCTGTACAGTTTGACGAGGGGACGTCACTTTTGCCTAATTTTGGTTAAAACACGTACAGATGTGTGCAAAACGACGACACAATACAACGGCATCACAACGTATGAATGAAAATTCTACAATATAACCATAATTTGGAAATTTTGGAAATTATTATTGCCTGTTTATAAAATAAATGACAAAAACTGTTTTCGTCGCAGAAGGCGGTTGATTCGATCGCAACGCAGTGCGGTGGGCCCAATACCATTTATGTATATTTTGAGGGTTTATCTTGACGTAAAGCACTTTTCAATTGAGTACAACCCTTTTCTTACTTTGACATCTGAGAAACATGTTTATTTGATGTTTAAAACAATATTATTATATATACGCTCGTACAAATAAATGTCCGAGTTCCGCTTACATTTTCCTTCCATTGAAAATTCCTTTGGCCGTTATCATTAAAGAATCAACAATTGATTACGGGTTATTACTATGTATCAAGTATTTTGTGTGTGAATGCACCATTCCAGTTGAAATGCGCAGTAAAGTAAGAACATAATAAACGTAATGCCCTTTATTATTATATTTGTATTTCCAAGTTCATATCAGGGATCATTCATTTGACAACCCGGACCGTAGAGGACCCGGCGGAAACTAGGAGTCAGTATATTTGAACTTGAAGCACCACCGAAAGGAAATTTGGCGATGCGCAGGAAATTACACCATTGTGGATAGTCCAGAAAAAAAGATCGCATGTGTCAGACATTTACAATTTACACGTGATCACGTGTTTCACCTATATACCAAGGCCGACTGACTAATTAAAATTAGGCCGTGCATTTTTTTTTTGCATTACGACATATGAGTCATACAAACATAAAGTTAACACATGTTCATGGCGTTTTCGAGAGTATCATAATATTAGTTAGGTTATACAATATGGCCGTATATAAACGGTTGTTTGGAAATATAATATATAAATGCAATTTCTTATTAAATAATAAACAGCAGTCGTGTATATAAACTTTATAATACTACATGTTTGTAACGTAACTTTTTATCGGATAATCAAGACGTAAAGATTTTTGTTTTATTTGTAACTTTATTTTCTGATTTTTACATACATGTACAAGTGTTATAAAGAATTTCGATATAACCTGTCGGATTTATTGATAACGAATTCATAATACATCAAACATGTTTTTAGAAAAAAGTGAGATAATTTCATACGAAAGCCATATATATAAAAGTGCATTGTACATAAACGTCACGATTATCCAATGAAAAGTGTCGTAACAAACGTGCATTTTTATAAATACATACACGCAAAATTAAGGAGGTTCAATATAATTTTATTCTTAAAATTTGGCATGATGCTAGAATATGATAACATAAACATTTCGAGCGAAAAAAACTTAGGGGTCACCGATCTCATTTTCTGTACGTGAATGATCCCCCCACACTTATTTTGGGTTATTTCAGGGACAGATAACTTAATACAATGTATACGTCTATAAAAATCCTTTTTTCCTTTGTTATGGTCTTCATTATATTTATGTACATTTTCAAAGAAAGACTTAATTCCATAAAATATTTCTGTCACCTTTTTATATTACATTTCATACTTAAAATTCTTTTAAGATATACAAGATTTGAAACTATTTTCCCTCGATAAATGTCACTATTTAAGAAAAAAGAAGAAAAACTAAAGCTTTATGACGCACAGGTCTTTACAAAAACTAATTGAGAAAACTTTTCCTGAAATAACTCTTACGCTGTAAAAATACAATTTATATAAATTGATGTTCTCAGTATATGATAATAGAACACAGTGACATTCAATACTGAGATTTTTTTTCGTATTCAAGAAACATGTTCTGTTTATCTTTACGAGTATCTCTATTATATGTGTGTGTATGACAAAACCATTGTTGAACCTGGAACTTACGGTCTTTTTAAGTCCAAGGTTGAAGTGGAAGGAAAATTGAAGCGGAACTCGGACATCTATTTGTACGAGCGTATATATAACAATTAATATCATTTTAAACATCACATAAACACTTTTCTCAGATGTCAAAGTAGGAAAAGGGTTGCACTCAATTGAAAAGTGTGTTAGTCAAGTTAAACCCTCAAAATATACATGTTTTTGTGATTTATTATATAAACAGGCAATAATATTTTCCCAAATTTCCCAATTACGGTAAATATGTAGAATTTTCATTCATACCATGTGATGCCGTTGTATTATGTCGTCGTTTTGCACACATCTGTACGTGTTTTTACCAAAATTAGGCAAAAGTGGCGTCCCCACGTCAAACTGTACAGAAGTGTTTGCATAAACGGCAATGTATTGCACCGTGTGCTTGTAATAAGTTGAAAGAGTACATATGTGGACTCCTGTCTCACTAAATGTTTCCAGTAAAACATTAAAACATAAAACAAAATTCAGTCATATACTTACCGACAACAGCAAACGGCCATATATTATATACCGCTTCTGCGACGAATACTCCACCGCCGCTGCAATGGACCCACCGCTTCTTCGAAAGCTATTGCCAGTGTAAAAAAGGAGTGAAGTATTTATAAATAAAAATATTTTGTAAATGGCCAAGTATTTGCTAAAATGTTTCCTGTCAAAGACCATTTTAAATTTCAATTTCGGATTCAAATTTAAAAACAAGATAAAAATTAACCTTACTTTTAATTGCACTAGATAATCTTTAAACAATCAATTAAATTATGTACATGTATTTCAAAATTTACTTTGAAATAGTAGTAATTACCGATACCACATATCTTAATGTTATTTTACCGCAATATGAGCAGTCGAGTGTAACAAGACAAAGGTAAAAAATAAATGAATTAAATGAATAAATTATTATAATACAAATAAAACGAAAGCCAATCATTATTAAAAATACGTTTGACACATCAAACTTCACAAAACTACATGAGTCCAAAACCATTAAAATGCTGATAAGTTCTTTCTTAAAAATATTTTCGAACACAATGAATGCAGAAAGAACTCTATTTAGACATAGTTTTGTTTATGTAAATGTTTTTAATGTCAAAAGAAGGGAGACTATTAATATAACATCTTTCAACACAAGGAACCTTGTTACTTCCCTTGTTGTATTAGAAGATTAATAACATATCTGGTTTGAGCCGAAGATCCAAATGAATATCCATCATTTTTAACACACGATGAGCATTTGATCACAATCGCAAGCGCTCAGTAAGCACACGTGTATTGTAGATGGTATAAGTAAATATTCCTCGAATAATAGTATTTCAATATATCAGGTGAAATAAGATGTACTGAAGTGTTATCTTTTGTGATATAATTTCTAACACAGTATTCAAATGTTATGTTTTTTTCCTTCTTATTATGCTTTTGCTTCTTCTTATTCATCCCAGGAAGTCAATAGATGCATTGGTTTCATTGCCGGTTTTCTTATCGTAGGCATTTACGACGATTTCTGTACCACTGAATGTTAATGATACCAAAACTGCTCTAGACAAGTCTCCGTCATGGTTCTGAAGATCTACGGACATTTCACCAACATATGTACAGCCTTGGTCTGTGTACTTGGGATTCATAAGATCGGATGCATATATCGGAAAGTCCATTGCTGTTTGGGATTTATAAACGGGATAGTATGTTCGTTGAACTTGTGCCTCTCCTACTTTGACCAGCTGGTTTTTTTCGACATGTTTGTGAAATACTTTATCACACTTGTCTCCAACATCAGTCTTCAACAACTTACTTTCAGGATGTATTCCTTTTTCAAAAGGACATGCCGCTTCTATTCCGTAAGTATTTTTGAGCACTCTTTCAGTAATAACTTTTGGACTGTGTCCAAAAATAAGAGCCCCTCTCAGTATGGCAGAAGATGCATCTTTTGGGATGATGACACACACACCAGGAAAGCTCGATTTGACAGCTTGCTGCAGCAATGGAGACTCTGAAAACCCACCAACCATTAATATCGACTTGACACCCGTGTTTCTGATCACCCCTTTAACATATCCAATCGTCTTCTCTATCGAGGTATCAAACAACGATTTGAAGACTTCTGCTGAAAATTTCAACTTATCTCCTGTATGTGAAATATCATCGGCAAACTTTGATCTACTTAAAGCCTCTGACAAACTTTGTTTGGTGACTTTCTCGTACATATTAATTAAAGATATAGGAAACTTCATGTTGATGCGGGAGGACTTTTCCGGGCTAACCGCTCGTTTCTTTACCTCAAAATCTCGCCATAGGTCCAGCCAATCCTCAGTCTCCTCTATCTTGAATTTCTCATATATCTTCTTAGTGAAAATATCACATAGCATGTTCTCGAATGCTTTGTCGACAATGGTACCACCCCATCCACCTCCACATGCGGCATTTACTTCCTTCACACCCCCTGTCTTCTCGACTTCATGTACTGTTATGTCTATAGTGCCCCCTTCAATGTATAAATCAATTAATACAAAACTGTGTTGATGTTTAACACTCGGAAACAACTTTACAAAGTTCGTTTTTGTGGAGTTAGAATGTACATTTTTGTGTTTTTGTCTTCGTTTCTTTATGTTTAAAGTAAATGTTTATAAAGCAAATATCTGACATAACTTTATTTGCTACAAAATATATTAAGTACGTTCAACGTCGTTAATAACTTATGCACGTAAGATACTAACCTCCAGCATCCAAAATCATGTACCGTGTCCCAGCTTTGAATTTGGCGACAGTAACATCACTTTTATCAACTGCTGTTTCAACAGAAAGATTGCGACAGTACACAGATGCTGCCTCGGGTTCTAGAGCAATAGTTAAATCCTTACTGCTGATTCCCGCCTAAAAAGTTTGTATATATTCCCTTACTAATTCTTTTTTCAGCGTCGTTTCAAAATATTACATCTATATTTTCAAGCAATTGCTTTAATTTACAAAAAATAACAATTACAATGGTTATATATACAATGTAAATAAGTTATCATTACAGTTTGATTTGTAAACGTTTATGTTGCATTTTATAACAGAAGGCCATGAAACAGTTTTTAAAAGGTGTTGTTCAAGTTGTTTCCACAAAGTTTTACTTAGAGATTTCGTAAAGGATTGAAATCTTCTACAAAAATGTTAATTAGATTAAAGTTTCAGCGGTGCAACAGTTTAACACTTGCAAATATATTAATGAATAGCTAAAGGACTGTGTGATATCATCATATCATCGCGGGTAGTAATATACGAGAAATATATTCAGGCCTTACCTGGCGTGCAGCTTCCCGCATAAACTGTTTAGCTCCATCAGTCCATATTGCAGGTACTGTTAATACCCAGTGAACGTCTTCATCTTTCAAAACACCTGTCTGTCTGTTCTTCACTTCATTTACCATATCGCTCTTTAGATACTGAATTGCCATTGCAAACACATCAAGTGCAAGAAGGGATCTTCCCATTTCGTCTTCAAGCGTGATTTTCCTGTCAAGTTTCTAGTTGGACAAAAAACTCATTATGAAGCCGTCAATTTAAATTTCAAATGAATTTCAATTTAAATCTTTGTATGTAATCCTTTTACCAGTGATTTATACCATTTGATTTTAAGTGATTAACAAAGACGGCAAATAACTTTTCATTTGATTACCTAAATATTATAAGATATTTAAATTGAGATGTTTACAAAACATAAAATGAATCAATATATCACAAAGATAATTTCATTTCTTAATTAATTTACTAAAAATATACCTCTCCGAGTTTCTTGTTTAACATCATCTTGAACTTTTTGAAGTAGAAATAGTCCTCGTGCTCCTCATTATCAACTAATTCTTTATATTTATTTTCTGCCTCATATCCAAACGCCTCGAGTGTTTTTCCATCTGGTTTGACAAGAACACAAGTTGGTGTTTTTTCTGTTGTCAAAGTTCCTGAACCAGAATACCATTGCTTCACAGAAGCTTTTGTAGGGTCAGATTCGAACTCGTAAAGAAAAGAACAAGCCCATCCCGAATTAGTTGTCCCGAAGTCTATTGCTCCAACAAGTAAATTCTTTGTAGCCTTAAAAAAAAATATTTTGACCAAATTTACACTTTTCGGACCAGTCGTCATCACGGATGAATATTCAGCACGTAATCTGCATTGTAAACATATATCGGTTAAGGTAAATTAATTCTTCAAACTGTTGTATGATGTCATTACATATTGTCAATCATAAATGCAACTTAAAGTATGTTTGGTGGGGAATTGATGGGCTCATAACTATGTACATGTACTGACTTAGAACTTATCCACACTCAATTTTTACTAATATTATTGTTAGTGGAGCGTTCAACAAATATAGAGGCTTTATATGGATAACTAAGTAGGATGCCACTTATTATAATTCGTAAGATAAGAATGGTCAACTAGATTAAATCTTAAATTTACCCCATGATAGTGTTTTATATAAAATATATGATATGTTGAAATCTGATGCAGATAACTCTAAAGTATTATGGTAGAAATTGGGCATTTCAGCTTAAAGAATTATTACAAGAACATTGCTTAAGTAATGTATGGGACACCCAGGGAGAGGTTAATTACTCTATGACAAAACCGAGTTTATGTATGATCAGCAATGGTATTCTAGTATTACCAATGCCTGTAACCTACATGTAGTTCATTTAAACAGGACAGAAGTTTGAGAATTATCTAGAAAAAATAGGACTGCTAAATTTCGAAAAGCACTCACTAAGTTTAAAGTTTCATCTCATCAATTGTCTATTGAAACAGGAATATATTATAATATACCACAGACAGAACGTAAATGCCGTTGTTACCTGATGGACGTTGTATCACTTTCTACTGGCTTGCCCAATGTAAAAGGAATTAAGGGGAAAATATTTCAAATCATATTTTTGTCATTGGCCAACGCTAAATAAGTTTGAAAAATTAATATTATCAAGTATAAAATCCGTTCAAATGAATTTAGCAAAATATGTGTACTTCGTTTATTTAAAATTAGTCTTATACAGTTTGCTTTTGTATTCAACATTTTCTGTACCAAAAATATTCTAATGATAACTGAAGATGCACTTAATTGAATTGCAGAGTATATATTTTTTGCTAACTTAAAGAGAAACACTGTTCATTAGTCTATACAATTTGCTTTTGAACCAAGATATTTTAATGCTTACTGAAGAAGTCTTGCATCAAGTTTGAAGAAGTGTGTAATTGAGTTTGGCTAAATATATATTTGGCTAACTTATAATACCAAAAATACTTAAATGCGTACTGAATTATTTTATTGAGTTTAGCAAAATGTATACTTGGCCAACTTAAACAGAGACACTGTTCATTAGTCTTATACAGTTTGTTATTGTATTCAAATAGTTTGTACCGAAAATACTTAAATGCCTAAGATGCATTGTATATGCTAATCATAATGGAAGATAGAGGACTTGTTCTTGCTTTTGCATTAATGCTCAACATTTGGCATGTGTATTGGAATTTTTTACATGGGATGTGTATTGTATTTCTTTTCATCATTTGTTGATGCAAGAAATAGTATCAAGTTTAATGCAAATAAAATCTATTGTCATGGTCATTGTCAAATGTGTGTTTACCAACATCACCTTCAATACTGTTTTATAATAAGTGATACCTTCAATAAAATATACATGAATATGGCATTTATTAAATTATAATGATAGATGCAAACAAACAACAAACAGAACCTTCATCCAAAAACATTTGCTACATTAAGACAGACAATACATTAGCTTGAACGATGCCTAACAAAGTGGTTTAGCACTACACCTTATGTATCACAGAATATAATGGCCATAACCTTCCCGGCTGACTTGGAAATTATTGCTTTTGTAGGGGAAGGCGAGGAAGGATGCTTCCAGACAGAACTCTGACGTTTGCTTTCCAGTTAAAAAATACACGTTTTATTACATGTTATCACTCGATTTAGAAAGTAAATGCCTCTTCACGATACCTCCTGTCGTACTGCTGACACATTTTCACCCTTTACCCCATCTGCTCCGACGTCAACAAACGAGTCACCCATCTTGCTGAAACGTGGCGCATTCCTAATCTATCAGTCATAATGCCCTGAGCTGTACCATATGAAATAGCGAACTTATCCGCTTCGTGCTCCACACTTACTCGGTTATCTCGGAGTATGTACTCCTGCTGAATGACAGCCACTGTTTCTTCATCTGTTAGAGTCACTGGTCTACCTGCACGACTGTCGTCTTCAGTTGCCTCTCTACAGTCTTTAAACCGCTTCATCCACTTTGAAATGACACCTTTTGACAGAGCAGCCTCTCTGTAAAAGTTTTGCAAATCTTCACGAAAATCGGAAAAGACTTTCCGAGTTTTGTGTAAAAATTTATAACGATGCGCTGTTCGTTGACGCTGTGTGACGCCATTTTCGAACGGACGCCCGTAACGTGACGTCATTTACGGTGAAGTTGTGTACATAGTACGATTCAATTTGAAATAATCTGATTTCACAGCATTTAAAGTTTCATTACAAACAGACCAGTAGTTTTGACGCTATTGAATTAGTTTACGAATTTATTGATGCACCCTCGTATATATAATATTATATAATTATATGCTAACAACTTAAGGTTTTCCACTTAAAAGATAAAGAAGATAACCTTTCAATTTATATACAACCTAACAACATTTATCCCAATATGTACAACAAAATGTTCAATTTCTATTGATCCGCTTTAAAGTATTTACTTGTTTAATTTGTTACTAAAGTTAAACAGTAATATAACCAGAAAACCAGAACCAGAATTAAACTTGTGTACTTGTGAACTTTCAGGGAAAGAAAAATACAAAAACAGTATATTACAATTCATACAAAATGTATTGAAGTACCATATTGTATATCAAATTATAAATAATGAGACTCTAATTCCTGAAATTTTTAAGGGGTATAAGGAGGACAGAGGATTAAAAAGAAAACCATTTAAAAAGGGTTTGATGCCATCTATGCGTGTTTAACCTGTGTACTTATGACCTAATTTAAAACTTAAAACAGTTTTTTATTTGTTGGAATGGATGAGAAAGGGGCTGGTGGAAGTCCCCTTATAGTATTTTTGGGAGGTGTGGTTATAGAATGTTAAAGGAAAACAAATATCAACTTTACTCAGTCAAATTGATATACTTATGACATGATTTTTCAAAAAAGATTGTTTCGAGTTATATTTCTCTGTTTTATAACTGGCACATATTTGATTTTTTGAAATTTGCTAAACTAGGCCTTGTTTGCTTGATTTGCTATAATACATATGAAATTTGCATTAAATATTATTTGGTTTGCAACATTGTCCAGATGAGTATTGCAGAGTAAAATATCAGAAAGGCTCCAACTATTTACATTAATAATAGAATTGTCCTTTAAATATACAATGTATATTTCTGTAACTGTGTCCAAAACTGCTTTATAATATCGCAATCAA